AAATGTTTTTTAAAAAATTTCCTCTCCCAGAGACATTCTGTGAAAGGTCAAGATGCATCCTGATTTTTTTCAGATTTTTAAATCAACTTTTTCATAAATTGTTTGCATTTTGCAACTAAAATGGACTTTTCGGCGTTGGCGGCAAATCAGTTTTTTCGTAGTTCAAATTTGAGCGCGCTTGGCGGCTTGACGTTTTGAAGTTGTTTTTACAATTTGCCTATCGTAAGGAATACTTTCCCCGTCAAAAAACTTCAATTCGGTCACGTAGTTTATGAGATATTAAGGAGAAAACATTTTTGAGAAATTGCTATATCTCGGAAACTACTGGGCCGATTAATCTGAACTTGCGTCCACAAATGCTCCAAAATAATACCAATTATCCGACGAAATTTCAAATTTTTAGCTCAAAAACTTTAGTCCTTTTTCTCGGCGGGATTTATTAAAAATATCCGAAAAATCGGCATACACATTCAGACATACATACATACATTTTCTAAAAACATCATATTTTCACGTTTCATGACATTCTACATCATTTCCAAGCAAAATTACGAGATCGTAAAAATCATCGATTACAAGGCTTCCATTCGGAAGCAAAAATAATAGATAAGGACACCGAAAGACGGTTTTTAAATTTATTTTTGAGTCTTGCATGCTAAAATATATAGATACATCAAAGACAATATTTTTTCGAAAAACTGAGAAAATTTCCGACAAAATCTATGGATTCAAATTTTCTGTTATTCTTAGTGACTCGTAATTAGAATTGAAAAAAAATCAGAAGAAAAAAAAATCAAATCTTCAATATCTTTGCCAATAATTTAGGGTAAGCTACCCAGTAGATGGACACTGCTCTATAGATGGACAAGCTACTTTTGGATAGGGAATTACGCAAAAAAATACTGAAATGTGAATTATTGCTTTGAATTTTCACTAACTGTTGTGATTCTTAACCCCTGAGTGACGATTTTTATTCCATCAATTTTTTTTTTCAATTGCTAAAAAATAAACGTCCATCTACTGGGCGGTTTTCTTAGGCGTCCATCTACTGGGCAGTTTACCCTAGTTAGAGCTTCGATTGCGCTCATTTTTCTTCTTTTGGACTATACTTTCTAATAAAAAAAAGTCAAAAACTTTAAAAATTTTGAGACAATTTTGCATCCCTGGGAATCCAGGAGCCACGCTACAGCCACGGTATTTGCGTGGCTGTTGCGTGGCTATTAGGATTGTCATTTTCTGGGGCTAAAAAGGGGGAAATGATATCTGAAAACACAATAAAAGTGGATAGACGAATTATTAGTTTATATTTGGACTGTTTATAACATTGTTTTCTATCAATTGATTGAAATTAATGTGAGTGTATATAATGATAATACAAGACCCGTAGGGGGAATGCCGGGAGATGGCGGCAGTGTCGATATCCCAACGGGGTCGATCAAGTCGACAGGAGTCGCAGCCAGAATAAGTGAGACCCCAACAGAGGTGGGGCGCCACGGTCGATTCTAACGGCTGGGCGAGCTACCTGTGCCGGTAACTCGGCAGTAGGGCCAGAAGAAGAATATCCACCCCCAGGTACTTAGCCGGAATAGGTCACTAATTATAAAAACGACCTTATGTACTCGATTGTACATCGTTAGTACATGATTGTACTATGAAAAATTTTGTTTGTACATTCACTCATTAATTAATATCAATTTTTTAATTTTTGCCATGACGCTGGCCGGAAGGAAATCAAAAATTGCTTGATAGGGGTTGATTAGGGGTGAATTCGATAGGAAATCGTTTGTACATCATGAATTTCATTTTGTTTCGTTTGTACATTCATTATTACTCAATTAATTGCAAATAAACAATTTTGATTGATTCCCCCACCTCCGACCAGCTGCTCTCAATGGTTCCTGTGTTATCGGCAATACCGTTCAGTATCATGTAATATCATCATAACATTCTTGGAGAGGTTAGAATCCTCGATGCCTTTACATATCTCAATGTGATTTCTGGTGACAAACATAGATGTCCACACATGTTGCAAATGAGTAATCAACACTATCCACCGTTTATCAAATGTTATGCCATTCAATTTTATCCTTCTCAAAATGTAAAATTACATATATCGATATGAGTTTATTGTTGAATAACGTGGGGATAATCTTCAAATGACAGTATTTACGATTATTTGAAAATTTGTGATAAGGCTGTGTATGATTAATCGACGTGAGTGATCATCAGATAATAAGTTTTAAGAAGACTTTCGACAATAGTGTCGACGAGAGTGTGGGTTTTTTTTTTGACAAGTTCTGTCAAATGGCACTGAAGGACAGCAATCAGGGCCAGCAGAATATGAATATTGGTGATGACCTCCTGAGAGACAAGGATCGGTCGATGTTCAGCCAGAAGCTGACAAATTGGGCAGTGAAGAATTGGAAGAGCCTGAAGCACAGTTATCGATGATCTATTGATTGTTCTACGAGACGAGGGGGATTTGGACCTTCCTGGGACCGCTGGAGCCCTACTTGGACATGGGCCGGGGTCCTCAGGGCCCCTTCAAGTGCACAAAGTTCCGTACGATTTTCGAAATGAGGGGGAATTGGAGAGGATTGACATTTGGATCAAGAAAGAGGGGTCCAGTGAGCCCATGTGGGCTAACGAGGATAATGATTCTTCAGAGCCATTACAAAGGCAAATTCAATGGGAGCTCGAGTCTGTCAGAGGCTCATGGCCACTTGTGACGAGTCTTATGGATAACAAAGAAGTTCTGGGGGTCAAACTGCCGCTTTTGTACGTGGATACTTTCAGGAACTTTGATGAATCCACAGCGGATAATCCGGAACAATAAATTACGATGGTAAGGCGTTTTGAGGATTTTTTAAAGGTGATTTGGGGGTTGAGGGAAGAGGGTGTTTTTCAGGCATTGGCAAATAAGCGGTTATTGGGGTAAGGGGTGGCTTTGAGGGAAAATGTCAAGAGACGTTGTTCGAAATACAGCCTAAATCTCCATATTGGTCACGGTCGACTAACTCGGCCATCTCCGAAAATCTCCGTGAACTTTCGGGTCAACGGACACAGGTCAGCGCGGCACCCGGAAGAGTCAGTAGTGTAGAAGTATCGTTACGATAATGATCTAAAGTATTCAGTCAATCAGTATTCTAAATTTAATATCTTTGTTCAGTACACCAACTTGTTGATTAAGTTCAGTATAATTTCAGTGACTCAACGAGATAAAATGAAAAGACAATTATCAGTGAAAATTAGACATTCAACATTAATTATACCAAAGAGTGTAAGGCAATAGTGACAAGTGGTTCGATCCCACGAAAATATATTGAGATTTTTTAATAAACCGCCTACCATAATTTTCCCAACATCTCCCTCCACATTTTCATCCCACATCCACCCTAAAACTAGTTCCTCACCAAACAGACGTTTTTTGGTGGGCACTTTGTGAGCTAAAAAAAAGATCTCCTGTTTTTTTTTCGTACATCTCGTGATTTTGGAGATATTTGGATAATTAGGAGAAGGGGAAAATGGAAAATAGGAAGATGAGATGAGTTGTCATGATTTGGGGAGGGGGCGGGGAGATATTTGGGAAATATCTCTGTAACTAGTGGATTTTAGGGGATTATGTTAAGAAACCTTTTTTGGAGGCCGTGAAATTCTCTACAAAAAAGGTTTATTGATATTTTTTGCTCAACCCCTTTGTGCTCAAGATATTCGCGAAATAGTAGGAATCAAATAAAATGAGTCATGTTAATTTGAAGATGAGTTTGTGATTGTCTTTTTTGTGGAGAAGCATGAGAGCTAGACTAGGCCAGCAAATAACTATTTAATGTAAATGAGATTAATTTCCTTTTCGCATTTGATCTTTCAATTGTCCTAATTATGTGTCTTGTTTTCACACAAATGATTGATGTTTTTTGTTTAGGTTTTGCTGCATCACTGAGTAACAGCATTGGCAGTATATTATCAGGATTATGGAGAAAAGACGTATAAATTCAGTATATCGCTCGTGGAATAAAAGATCAGAGGAGTCAAGAAACAAAACTTTGGGGATATAAATACCTTCAGATATGCCAAAGGTAAAAATCATCATTATTGAACCTATTCAAAATTTCTTTTCTCATAATTGCATTACAGGGAAATCTGAAAGGAAGCTGGGAGACCGCAAGGCAAACAAAAAGGAAGAGGACACCTAGTTCTAAAGTGTTACAGTGCTTTTTTTCCGACTCATAATTTATAAATAAATTAAAAACAGAAAGAATCTACGAAGTCTATAGGAAAAATGATGATGTAAATGAACGTTGCATATATAGGATCATTTTTTTGGATCATAAATAATTCAGTTACATACAAATATACAAAAAGGAGTTTTTTCTCTCATGACAATGAGTTAAAAGTTTTCATTCCACCCAATTAAATTAATATTTCAGGCAATTGTGATTCCACCTTAGGAACGAGAGACTTGGGGAGAAAGTCAGAATTTTCCAAACTAAAGTCAACACAATTCAGCATCATTCATTTTGGATTATTTTGTTATTAAAATTCATCAATAATTTATAACATGAGTTCCATTGAAATCAGACTGGGAATCCCTATCGGTAATTTGTGATTGTAAATTCACTTCTACAAGTGGAATTTTTAGTTACACAAACTTGGCTTTCACTTTTTGTACATCTAAAAGTATGTTTAATCAACCAATATTCAATCGCATTATGTTCGGAAATAGATATGTATAGAAACCATGGTACAGAACGGTATATGAGTGAATTTTAATTTTTCATCTGCACTCAATCAACTATAAATCAATGGATTACCAACGAAAACATAGAATTCACTATTTACGAACTTTTTTAGTTGTAATGAACGGCTCATTAGCTCTCATTAAAGACATCTCCATTGACTTTACCTATGATCACACCTGAAAAAGTACGCCTGTGAATGGTGATGGAGTGGGGGTTAAGCAAAGTGTGGCTCAAGGAGAGGGCTATAGACGCCATGTTCATTTCGGAGCACAGTCGAGCAGGCATGCTGTATTGCATTTTTGGAGTAATAACCATCCCAGATTCATTAATTTTATAATATTCATCATAAAATCATATATTTCATTTTTTGAAAAATTTGTATTCTTCGTGCGAAAATGTCACGAGTTTTTGAAGAGTATGCTGTCATATGGGAAGAATCTAGTTGCTTCCCGTTTTCTCGATATTACACGTGTTTGTTAACTTTTTCCTATTTTCTTGACAGTTTCTTCGATAGCTCTCTCGGAGGTAAGGATACTGAAGTTCCCTAGACGGTGTTTATATACATATATCCTTATAAATCAGAACACTTGTATTGCAGTTGAAGAAAACATGGTCGGTGATTCTCAAACGAATTTTGGGACTGAAAGTCAAGTGAGTTTTTTGAGAAATGTTTTAACCACTCCTCGAGAGTGGAATCATGAATTGCAAATGGGCAATCGACCATTAGAATAATTATTCCCCAGTTGATCAGAATAAATGTTGGACTAAATTTTACAGGAGTATACGTCAAAGAAAATTCTACCACCGGAGGGAATTGCAAGGACCATGGGCCATAATCGTACCTGTTGTACCAATATAGGCGAAGTCAAAGCTCTCATGATGAACTGGAAAAAAAGACAAAAATCAGTTCAAATTTTGAAGGTGAGTTTTATCGAGAGCTTTTCCTGAAATAATCTGGTTCTATTTGATTTGAAGGGTCTCAAATGTTCACATTGCAGGTCAGTTTGATAATTTATGGTTGTAAGCAGTATCTATTGATGTTTATAGTGATGATGGGAGTAAATCCATGCAACTTGAATAACTGTAAGTGAAATTATCTAGTTGCATTTCTGCTCATTAGCAATATTCCAGTATAATGAGATCTTGTATTAGCATGGGAATTTCATGTGGCATTTAAATATTCAATAAATGTTTTCCCCTCTTAATCTGAAGAATTCAATAGCACTACTCATTACATTGCCTCACATTTTCTAGTCCTATACATAAATATTAAAACCGTCCCTTCATTTGTGTCATTGGATATAATATCATTGGACGACAATTCATAATTACTCAAGCATTGTTTGCCAGTTTTAATAAATAATTGAATATAAGAGTGGATTGTAGTGTTATAACTTCATATTTCATAACTTAGCTAACATTTAAAGAAGAATCGACGACGATTTTCATTCGCATGGGGTGTGTAATTTGGTTTTTCCATGATAGAAATGTCAAAAATAGTTTTAACCTCAAATGATCAAAAAATATAAATAACCGTAAAAAATCGCAAGTTAAATGTGTGAAAATTAAATAAGCGTCAATTTTTCGCTATTATCTGAATAAAAATGTTGATAAAATGTACCTTAACATATTGAAGGCTTCCAAGGCCTGAAATAGTATATTTCTAACCTAGGGAGGGAAAATAAATGATCCTCAGCCGCCAGTGCAATTACTAGCCGAGCCGAAGGCGAGGTTGGTAAGCACGCGGCTGAGGGTCCTTTATTTTACTTCCCGTGGTTAGAACGCGATTTTCCGTCTTGGCGTAGGCGCAAAGTCAGAGTTCCCTCCCGCGAAGCGGGAGGGAAATGTAACTTTGCGCCCGCCGGGACGGAAAAAAAATAATTGAAATTACCCAAGTCGCTCCGACTGTGTACAGTGGTAAAAATGATTCCATCATTACCAAAACAGACTATCGGTCGACGAAAATCTTATTGAAAGTAGTAACTGAGATATACTGAGATTTTAATCATTTATTGGTATGTAATTAGTGATTTACAATTACGAGATTTTCGTCATGGTATTTTCAAAGAGTATAGCTTAAACAGAGGGGCGCAACACTAGACAACGGAACGAGGGAATGAGTGTGTTGGTTCATCAGTTAGCATGTGGTCTGTGTTTTCATTCACATCGTCATTATCGTTCTCATTTTGTAGGGAGTTGTTAGCTTATAAACTTTGGTGAGCTATTTTTTTTTGGTAATGATGGCTTGAATTTGATGTCAACCATGAAGGTGACTTTATTATAAACTGGGGGTTATTATTTTCAGGTATCCAAAGACTGAGTTGCATCATGCCACGGGAGAGTTGTGTGACAGTGCAAGAGGCAGTTCAGGCAATTGAAGCCAACATAGATTATTTTCGAACAAATGTCTTCCCCATCAGCACTGC